TGCCAGTTGGAAGAATGACCGGCAGGCTGCTTAGTGCCATGAGGGGCTTCAGAGCTGCACTGCCTCCCCGGGCTTTAGGGCACCTAAGGTTCCCCGAGATTCCCAGCTGCTGGCTAAGTGTGCTGGGACGACTTCGTCCAGCTATGGGGTCCCTGTCTCTTTAAGACTTGCAGAAAGCACTCGCTTTTCTTTTGTCTCAGGGGTGCCGGTTGCAGGGACCTGCCCACAGTTTTTGCTTTTCTGTTTCTCTAATATCCAGCACCCCGTGCACCTTGTGTCTGCGCTCCAGGTGCGGGTTTCTAGAACTGGTTGTTTAGCAGTCCTGGGCTTTCACTCCCTTCCTGTTCCGACTCCTTTCTTCTGGATGAGTTTTGGGATGGGGGCGCGTTCGGGTCCCGCCTGGCCGTGGCTTGTATCTTACCCCTGTGATGTTGAGTTCTTACAGATGTAGATGTATCCTGGCTGTTGTACTGCATCCACTGCTGTCTCTTTTAGGAATAGTTGTATTTATTGTATTTTCATAAATATATATGTTTTGGGGAGGAGATTTCCTCTGAACTACTCACACCATCTTCCAATGATCCCCCCCATTATATTTTCATTTTGGTTATTGTATTCTTCAACTTTGACTAGCTCTTTGTATTTTCTGTCTCTTTTCTTGAAGTTCTCTCTGAGATCATTAATTATTTCCCCCAGTTCAGTGAGCATCTCTATGATGATTACTTTGAATTCTTTATCAGGAAAATTGCTAATCTCCATTTCATTTATCAGTTCTTCTGTTGTTTTGTCTTGTTCTTTTGTTTGGAACATATTCCTCTGCCTCCTCGTTTTGTCTGGGTCTCTGTGTTTATTCTTTTGTATTAGATAGATCATCTATGTCTCCTTGAAAGTAGTGGCTTTATGTAGTTTTCATCCTGTGGTGTCCAGTACCCTCAGCTAATCAGACCTCAGTGCTCTGTTGTGGCCAAGCTGCGACTGCTGTTGGTGGGCTGTGGGTGGGACTACCCTCTGCCTGTCTGCCAGCAATGGCCAACTACTGCTGGGCTGAGCATGCTGTGTAGGGCAAGTCTGCAGGGGAATGCTGGAGCTGAGCTAGTGGTGGGTGGAGAGCTTCAGAGCTGGCTCCCTTAAGCATCTGGCCAGTTGGGCTAACAGAGGGTTGGAAAAGTGTCATCCAGCTGCTGTTTCTCCTATGGAGAGAGCTCCCTCAGACCCCTGCCTCTCCAGCACACTTCCCAAGGCTATCAAATCTTTGAAACTACAGCCTCTGTGTTGGGTCTCAGGGGATTGACAGAGCACACTAGTCCTCCAAAGCGAACAGAGATTCAGCCCCACAGTGTACTCCAACTCTCCCTGGTGTTCAGCCCCAGTAATCTTCAAGCTCAGTGCAGTGGGGACTTATCTTCCCAGTAGACCACAGGGCCAGGTGTTCCAGGTTCCTGAGTGTCTGTCTCCACCCCACTCTGTTCCTCTCTCCCTCCTGCTTGTGGGCTGGGATGGGAGAATGATTTGGATCCTCATCAGTTGTGTCTCTGTCCCTTTATCCTTCAGTGTGGTCTTTTCTTCTTTGCCAGGTATAGATAGTCTGTTCTGTGGTCTTTAGGTCATTTTCAGAGTTAGTTGTATTTGATGTAGTTGCTTCCTTGGGGTGTACACAGAAGGAGGTTAATATAGTGACCTCCTTTTCTACCATTTTCCTCTGACCCCAAAAGCAGGCATTCTTTCTTTTCCTAGGCTGTAAGTATGATTTCAGAAGAACTCGGCACATCCCCCTTGTTTGATAATACTATAACCATTGTCGTAAAAATTCCCGATTGAATAATTGCTGTGTTATTAACTGAATTCCAGCCTTGACAGCATTGCTTGTAGTAGCAGATAACTTAGGCTCAGAAGGTAGGTAACCCTCAGGCATTGGTAACTTAGCTTCTTGAGTTAAGACTCTTTAGGGTAAGGTGGTGATTTGGGTGTTTCTGTATTTTTGTTTAATATCAGGACACAATTCTGTCTTAAATAGCTGACAGCCTTTACATTATTCTTCCTGAGTTGGAGTGAAACCAAATCCAAGATGACCCCCAGCTGTTATCAGGAGCCAACTAAATCCCACAGATTTCCTGTGAACTTCTGGTTTGTTTGATGGCAACACTGAACCAAACTATAGCAGAGAGGACTGTTTTGAAATGGTTGATGAATGGCATCTGTTGCCGGGTCCAGCTGACATTACTAAGTTGGACAGAATAATCAATAAATTGGCTGGGAAAGGAAAATCAGATACAGTCATTGTATTTTCAAATCTCTGCTATTTGTTCTTCAGCAGTTTTGTACTGCAAATCTCTCATCATACCTATACTAAGTGCAATGATTAGACTCTCTAGAAAACTGGGACTTCATTTGGCAGTTTTAGTAGTTTTAATTTAAATAAATTGAAAACCTTATTCATGATATCTTTATGTCCTCCTGCTGTTTTGCTCAAATGATTGATTTGTTAGTTGCCTGACTATGGTATCTTCAAGGTAAAATAAGTCCAAAATCTGCCAGGGACTTTGAGCCTCTGGTCTGTCATGATGTTCTGACTCTGCAACCCCAGGGAGAGTAAAGAACAACATGTGGGGGCTCTGAGGGTTACATGGCAGTTAAACTGGCTAGTGGAAAGAGAAAGAAAGAAATCACAAGATTGTAAATGATGAATCTCCCCTCTTGTCCCTCCCAGGTGAACCTTTTTCTCAGGAGGAAATGGAAGAAATGTTGTCTGCTGCAATTGATCCAGAATCGAATTCAGTTCATTACAAGGACTATATAACAATGATGGTGATAGATGATAATTAAATGCTCCAAAGACTTAATTTCTAATTGAAAGGATAATATTAAAAATCGCTTGACCTTGTTAATTTCACATTTTATCTTTTAACTCCTGCATATGCTTATTCATAACTTGTGACAACTGTTTCAAGATATTTTGTTTTTTAAAGGTGATCATAACAGTTTAAAACAAACTATTGAGTATGTCCAGCTTTATGGAATGACAAATTTCTAGTTATCCTAAAACTATTCTTAAAACATTTTAACATTCTTATTGTTATTGTTAATTTTCTACCATAAAACCAAGATTACCTTCAAATTAGTTAAGCTGACAAAATGAAGAATTATCAGAATGACCCAAGGTATGGTAGTAAACATCTTGGGAGCAGCCAGAATGACCACACATTGAAAATAAGTACTGATGTGATGAGAGCTGCTTTAAACAACAGACACTTAAGCCATCTGAATGTGGAAGGAGAGTTATTGAAATGAGCAGTAATAATTAATTCCTTATGAGAGCCAATTACAAGTCTCATTTGAGATGATAACTTAGTGTAAAAATTTAAACTTGCTGATGTAGCATGTTAACATTTATGGAATAGAAAGTTGATATAATTTATCTAGAGACAAGAAGACAAGGGAATTGATAATGTAAGCAAGTGGCCCTTCTCTTCTGGCTTTGGAATGCTTACCTACTCAGGGTACATGTCATGACAGTATTATCCTCAATAGTGGGTAAGAATTTGGAGATTTTATGGTGGCAGGAAGTGATGGAAGAGCTGAATAAAGTTATATGACCACAAGAAATCACAACAGAAAAAGACATGGACCTACAAACAAGGGGGAAAATAGGTAAAGGAGAAGTGAATAATCTTCCATAACATGTATATTCTTTCATATGTGCACACATGCGTACACAGTGATCTCTATTTAAAGATGCATCACCTCTACATGTGTGTTTATGCACATAAACATTGAATGTAGCTTGTGATTCTTCCTCACAGGCATGTCTTGCCCCCCCAAGAGAGGGGGCTGCTTTCATAGGCTATTTGTTACTATTTATTCATTCATTCATGCAACATTTACTGAGTATTATTAGATAATGTTCTAAGAATTTCAGTTGCAAGGCGAATCAGTCCCTAAATAATTGAGGTCACCGTTTAGTGAGGGAGACCTGTCAGTCAGCCAGCAATCACATTCCAGACAGAGGCACATTCAGGGTACCATGGAAGCATGTCAGAGGGGCAGCTAACTCAGCTGGGGAGGACTTCCTGGGAGACGAGAGATTCTAGTGAGTAGAGAAGCCTTCCCAGAACAGGTAACACCGACTTAAAGTCTACAGACAGTTTACTAGGTGGGCAGCAAGGGCACAGGGTACTTCAGCAGGAGAGCTGCAAATACAACAGACTCAGAGGTATCAGGAATCAGGAAATGATCTGACAGTTTAAAGCAGTTCAGTATGTTTGGTGCATAGAAGATCTTGGAGATGTGATCAGAGAGGAGATTGGAGCCTAGATGGGAGTGGCATCATTAGGGACATTGGTTTGGGTGTGCAGTTTGGGCTTTAATGTTAAAATTTGACACTTCTTCTGAAGATCAGAGAGAAAGAAAGACCATTTGTAGATAGCGCAGAAAGTAGACTTGAAGAGTCAAATCTAAAAGTAGGGAGACCAGGTAGGCAATTTGGTTGTTGGGAGGAGATAGATTGGGAAAAGTCAAGAGTGAGTGCCAGGTTTCTAGCTAGGACAGTGGGTGGATGCTAGTGCCATTCACTCAGATAAGAAATCCAAAAAGCAAGTCCAGGTTGGTAGGCAAAATGATGAGTTTGGCTGTGGCCATCTTGGGGCTGAGAAGCTAGTGAGACATGATGGGGAAACATCTGATAATCGGTTGGAGAAATAGGAGGAAGATCTGGCTAAAGACATGGATTTTGCAGTTCTCCACATATAAGTAGTACTTAGTGCCTTGGGAGGAAAAGAGAAGCAGGTCAACAGAACGAAGGCAGACATCAGCATGTAAGGGGAGGCAGAGGAAGAGGAGACCAGGAGGGAGAAGCCTGCGAGGAGGGAGAGCAGGTGGGGAGGCCTCACGAAGGGGCAGTAACCAGCCATGTCAGCTGTCACAGAGGTGAGGTAAACTACACATGGAAAATGCCCATTAGTTTCAGCAGCCAGAAGTTCATGGGTGACCGAGGCAGGGGCAGATTTGGTGACTGCCAGGGAGCAGAGCTCAGTGGGTAAGGACTGGATGGATGTGAGAAGGCAGGGCAGAGAGGACAGACAGATCACTTGGCAGTGAGGAGGAGAGACACAGGCTAGAGAGAGACAGCAGGTTGAGGCAGACTTCTGGGAGATGGGACACATGCAAGCAGGTTGATATGCACAGGGCTGAGGGCCAGCAGAGAAGTTGAAGACCCTCAGGAGGTGGTTGGGGACTGGTTCCAGAGCAAACCTGCTCGAGGGTGGGTCAGGGCAATGACCCAACTTACCTAGTTCTTGCATATGTGTCTCTTTCCTTTCCTTTCTGAGTGAGGAGGGAGGTGGTAGGTTACAGAGCTTGAGGAGAATAGTAACATTTGGAAATACCTCTTGTAGGAAATGGGAGAGAGTTGAGAAAGAGCCCATGTGAGGATTCCCAAGAAATCCTGGAGGACTTTATTCAGTAACCCAGGCTCTTGAGCAAATGGGTGGATTGTTGTACTGATTCAGGATTGAGGTTTCGTCATCTGGATGAGATGGAAGGAACCAAAGGTCAGGGAGCTGAGGAACCCACGAGAGAGCAGCTGTGAGGATGGTCTGTGGGGCCCAGGTACTGGGGGACAGATACAGGCAGGAGAGGGCAGGTGGAGCGAGAGGAAGGCGCAAGGGCCCAGGAACTCTAAAGACGAACAGCAGCTCTTGCTGGAGTGTCGGATGCTTGGCCTTCCTGCCGTTCCTGAGGATATTCTGCTCGAATGTGACCTCTGCATTCTTAGAGTGTTCTTTTACTTTCCTATAAGGAGTGGTACTGGTCAATTTTTGCTAGATTATGTTGAGATAACAACCCCCAAAACAGAGTGTCTTACTATGATAAAAGTCACTTTTTCATGTTTTTTGTCACCTGGGGTCAGCGGGGACTCTGCCTCTGGTGCTTTCACCTGGCTTCTTCATTTGGTTCCTCTCCTTCCTCAGTAAGGTGGCCGTGTGTCCCGGCTTGCCCAGGTTGGCCCAGCATAACTGTTAATAGTGCTCCTTCTGGAAGCGTCCCAGTTTAGGTGACTAATATGTGGTTATACTGCATCAAAAATGGTGAGGAGTCATCACTTATGGAAGGTTTTGGGAAAAATGAGCACAGAAGTGTACCAATGGAAGGCATTTCTTCCTTCACTGGTTTCCCAATGTTACAAGTAAAATTCAAGTGGAGGACTGATGTGCCACTCACTGATGTGCCACTCACCAGACACACGTTAGAATTGTCACCCAGAGGTGAGTGCGAGCCACCTGCGTTTAGGCAGAGGAGCAGGAGGAAGGAGGCGTGGTGACCCTCCGAACACTAACAGCCCATTTATGAGCTGCGGCCCTGCAGCTGGGAGGGAGGGAAGCAGAGGCATGAAATACCCATAAGGTGGCAGTTTCACCAGGGGTGTGTCATTGCGTGGCAGCGGCTGGCACCAGAATGTGGCATTGAGGCAGGGCTAGTGCCCAGAGTGCACACCTGGCGTGGACACCGTTGGAGTGTCCAGGATGGCTCTGAGCTGCCTGCACAGCCTGTCCCCCTGCATAACCCTGGCTATGCCAAAGAAATAGTTCAGTGAATTAGCCCTGGTGTCTTCATGGTCAAAGGTGACATCACATTCCCCTTCTGAAGAGAAGCTCCTGGCACAGGAAGATGCCTCAGGATTGGGTACCCCTGAGTCTCACCTTCTAGAATTTTCTCAGAAGTTCTGATCGATGTCAAGCTTCACACCCTCTCTAAAGGAATTTCTCTTTAGTATCATAAGAGTTAGCTTTATGGAATATGGTTAATTTTTATCTTTAGCAAAAGTTTGTCTGTTGTTTATTTCAAAGCCATCAGAAAGTATAATACAGGTTTCTCACAGAAATCTCATTTTGTCTCCTAGTTGCAGAATAAATGTAGTATATTTGCAAAGGGAATGTTTTTCTTTATACTCAAAGCATTTCCATTCATATTTTGCCTGTCCCATTCACCTACTTAGCCCTTGACATCTGATTTAAGTCACAGTGGCATTTTCCTGGCAAGAACAATGCTTGGTTCCCTGTGCAGAGTGTCCGTGTATCATTATGACCCTGGCTTCTGCAGAGCCTGCCCCACCTTCAGCTCTGGGGCCTTGTGGAGGAAGGCTCAACTACCACACTGGACTCCTGGGAGGCATGTGACTGCTGGGCCAGGGCTTCCCCCTGGGCACACCTGTCTGGGAATAAAGAGGCCAGTCTCCTTCCCCAGCTTTCCAAAAGCAGCACAGATTTAGTCCCCTTCGCATGTACAATGTTCAAGACAGCAGCTAGTTGGGATTCTCACTGGCAGTCTTGGTTTTTGAGGAATGGAGCGCTGTTTGCATCTTTCTGCCTTGTCTTCCTGCTTTCATTCCTTTGCCTTTTCCAACTGCTTCCAGATAAGAGAGCACCCTGTTCATGCAGCCAGGTGCTTGTAGACCACTGTACTGCACTGCTCCTTCTGGGCGGGTTAAATAAGCAGAAGGCCACATGGCCATCTCTGGCCCACCCAGCACCAGGTATGGCAGCTGTCACCTACACCTGCAGGCCCTGAAAGTGTGGTTACCAATCACCTGCTTCAGAAGCACCTGGGAGGGGTGCTTGTTAGAAATTTGGACTCCACGGCCCCACTGCAGACCCCTAAAGCAGAACCTAGAGGGGGTCCTCGAAGTCCCCATTTGTAACACATTCCCAGGGAAGTCTTATGCACATGACAGTGTATGAAGCACTCTGTGAGGCAGTAGCATAGTGTGAATGTGTGGAATCTGGAGGCTGTGCCACTTACTGATGAGGTGATTGGCTCCAACATCTACTGTTGCTGAGTCTTTGCATCTTCATTGTAAATGGAAGGAGCACCTGCCTACCTTAGGCAGGTATGAAACAAAATGAGATTCTAAAAGTAGAAAGTCTTTAAAGGTTCTAACACAATTGTGTTATTTATAGGAATCAGGGATGGAGGGAGGAGAAGGGAAAGGGGAGAGAGAGCAAGAGGCCCGCTGCCTGGGTATGGACAATCAGAGTGTGTGGGCAGGTGGGTAGGGAGCGATTCATTCATCTTGGTGAGGGGGGAGCCACCTGAGGTACTGGCGGAGATACCAGGAGGTTTGCTACCATGGTCCTGTTAGTTAAAGTTTATTTCTAGAATATGAAATTAGGAGGTTTTAGAAAGTGGTTTGTCTTTTTTTTTTAATTGTAAAAACAACATAAAATTTACCGTCTTACCAATTTTTAATGTAGAGTTCAATAGTGTCTATTCACAATTGTTGTGAAATAGATCTGCAGAATTTTTTCATCTGGCAAATCTGAAATGCTGTACCACTGAACCCCTACCCTCTCTCCTGACCCTGCTCCTGGCAACCACCCTTCTACTTTGTTTCTATGAATTTGACTTTGATACCTCGTGTTGGTGGAATCATACCTGAGTTGTCTTTTTATGACTGATTTGTTATACTTAGTATAATGTCCTCAAGGCTCATGCATGCTGTAGGCCTGTGATGGGATTCCCTTCCTTTTTAAGGCTGAATAATATTCCTCTGTATACATAGGCTGCATTTTGTTTATTCATCCATCAGCAGACATTTGAGTTGCTTTCACCTCTTGGCTATTCTGAATAATGTTGCTCTGAACATGGGTGGGCAAATACCTCCTTGAGACACTGCTTTCAGTGCCTCTGGGTGTGCTTCTGTATCCAGAAGTGGGACTGCTGGGTCTTTCTTCTTCAAAATTGGCCGTCAGTCCTGCAGCTCTTGGAGCAGCCTGGTCACTCACTTCACTCAGTGGCGAAGGCTCTCCTGTTCATCTGAGGAAACGAGTTTTGTTTTTCTAAAAAACAGTTCACAAAGTTGTAAACTTGGGGCCAACTCTCTTTGCTCGGATAAGGAGGTAAGGTCAGACAGCGCCTCCTGAGCTTCAGGACCTAGCCTTATACAAGTGGCCATACAGAGTGCCACATACTTCTTGGCACTACCCTAGTGAGTCTGCAGCTACTCAGAAAGAAGCGTTTTTTATTTTTATCACTTTAAAATTGAAGTAGAGTTTATATACAATATTACATTGGTTTCGGATGAATGACTTAGTGATTTTTCAATTATATACATTATGAAATGCTCACCATGGTAAGTGTAGTTACCATCTGTCATCATACAAAAGTACTACAGTACTATGAGCTATGTGCTCTATGCTATACTTCCATCCCTGTGACTAAGTTATTTTACAGTTTGAAGTTTCTACCTCTTTATCACCCGTTTCTCCCTGCTCCCCTAATAACCAACTGTTCTCTGTGTTTATGAGTCTATTTCTGTTTTGGGTTGGTTGGTTTGTTTTCAGATCCATGTCTAAATGAAGTCATGTAGTATTCATCTTTTTTCTGACTTATTTCACTGAGCATAATACCCTCTAGCTCCATCTGTGTTGGTGCAAATGATAGGATTTGTTTTCTTCTTATGGCTGACTAATATTCCATTGTATATGTACCACATCTTCTTATCTATTCATCTTTTGATGGACCCTTCAGTTGCTTCTCTATCTTGGCTGTTGTAAATAATGGCATGATAAATTGGGAGTGCATATTTTTTTTGAATTAATTATTTTGTTTTCTTCAGGTAAATTCCCAGAAGTAGAATTACTGGGTCATATGGTATTTCTGTTTTTAGTTTTTTGAGAAACCTTCATACTGCTTTCCACAGTGGCTGCACCAATTTGCAATCCCACCAATATTGCACAGAGGGTTCCCTTTTCTCCACATCCTCACCAACACATGTTATTTCTTGTCTTTTGGATGGTGGCCATTCTGACTGGTGTGAGGTGACACCTCAGTGTGGTTTTGACTTGCATTTCCCTGGTACCTCTCTACCAGCTACACCCAACTGGGGGAGAAACACTCTGGAAAGAAGTCAGGGTGCTATTGAGAAGGAGAAATAAACACAACAAGTAGTTATTACAAGTTCATATTACACTGTTGAATAGTCTGCACTTTACTATGTCATGAAAAATCTGTGTTAATGTATATTTGACTAAAATATGAATTGTAATCACTGAATAGTATCTAATTGTTTTAACATACCTTACTTATTTGACTAGATACTTATTCCTGGCCATTTAAATAATTTTCAGTTTTTGTCTGTTGTAATAAATTGTCATGAACTTCCAGGTAGTTAAGTCTTAATTACTTGCTTAGAATACTTTCCTAGAAGTGGACTGTTGAGTCAGCTTTGAAGAGCTGGGGACCTGTATTTCAGCCTATTATAAATAATATGTTTTTAAGCTATCCTGGAGAAAGATTGTTACTATGTCCCAAACCTCCATCAGCACTTTTTTTTGTTTTAAATTTTGCCAAGTTGATAGGCAAAAATAGTATCTCATTTTTTATAATTTGTGCTTGTTGATTATTTGAGTTTTCTAAAGGCTGTGACAAGGTGAACTACAAGATTTGAATGGATTAGCTCCAGGAGGCACCAATTCGAGCCTCACAGAATTTCCTGTCAGACAGAAGCAAGATGATCTGGCTGCTGTGAGCTGGAGTCCATGAAGCACAACACTGCAGGCAGAGTCTGAATTCAGGAGGAGCACTTTCATTCTGAATAATTATCACTTGGAGGAGGTGATTAGGGAGAATGAGCCACTGACCCACAGAATAGTTAGCAGGAGATGTAACACATATTCAAGCAAAGAAATAGGAACTGGGGAAATAAACATATAAATAAGAAGTGAAGAACTATCAGCAAAGCCAGAACAAGAGGCCAACGGGCCATCTGCTCCACTATCAGCTTCTTGGGAAGTGAATGCACTTCCTAGTCCAAGTCATTTACTTATTCAATCAACAATTATTGAATTCCCTCTATGTGCCAGACACTGTTCTGGGCACCAGAGATGCCCAAATGTATATGAGACACCATCCTTGTCCTTGAGAGATTTCAGTCTTATGGGAGAGTCAGTGAGATGAATTACACCAAACCATGTTAGCAAAGTGCTTTGAGATCAGAGCAGAGCAACCAGCTCTGCCTGTGGGATTCACAGAGGGCTTCACAGGAAGTGGCAGGATGATCCACAAATGGCTTTTGTGCTCATCTTGGCAGTATTGCTGCCAGCACTGGATGGGAGAGAATGTTGCAGAATGTGATGGCTTGAGGCTCATCTAACATAGCTTTATAGGGGAAAGAATGGACCTGCTTTGGATCCCAGCTCTGCCAGGTACAAGATAGGTGGCCTGGGAAAAGTCATTTGATGTGTCTGTACCTCTGTTGCCCAGTTATAAAATGACAGTAGTCTTTTGTACCTCATAGGGTTACTGAGCATTAAGGGTTACCTGAACAGGACTTGATACTCAGTAAATATCTGTTGAAAGATAAATGTAAATATTTTGTCTGTATAGTAAATCTTTTAAAACTATATATAATGAGGTTGGATACAGATGCTTATAGGATTTCTACCAATAGTCCTGAACACCATTGTTATCTGGGTGGAAGAGGGTAGAGGCAGGCCTGATCAGCTTTGTTTTGGGCCTGCATTATAAATGAAAGGGGCGAGATAAATGAAAGTTAGCTGTTAATGAAAAGTGTGTGTCTCGAGGTAATTGGGAAGAGATTTGGGGCTCTTAATTTTAAAATATCAGTAAGGAATAATGGATACTGTGGACTCTTTGAGGTGTGAGATGCAACCATCACAGTCTTGTGCCTGAAATGTCACTTGGTTCTTCTAAATTAAATCTGACCCCAAGCCCCTCTTGGCCAATCACATTGTGGGAGCTGTCAGCCAACCTGGTGTTCCACAGGAATTGAGCACTTACATGGTGCCTTTAAAACCTGATGGTATCCACCAAGAGCATGACAGCTGTTGAATATCCAAATTGGCTTCAGTCATTTTCCTCTGGCTTATCACCATCCAGTACATCCTGTCACCTTCTCAGGCCACTTTATGGAAACCAGGATGATCCTTGTGAAGAAACCAAGGGAACCTGGGCACATTCTCTGAAAATGGAGCTTTTTCAACAGTAGTTCACAGGGTGCATGTTGACGTGGTGAGTGGTAAGGCTAGAGTGAAACTGGCAGAGAAAGCTGAGTGAAAACCCAGCCACTGGTCGGGGGCGTTTTCCCCTCCAGGGCCCCCCAGGCAACGGCAGAGCCCATCCACGGCCTTCCTGACTGGAGACCAGGCTCTCCTCCCTCATGGCCCGGCTACCTCTCCTGCTTCCCGCCTGCCAGGCCCAGACCCCACCGCTCTCTCCAGGCAGTTCAGCTGTTTGTGGAAAGGCTTCTGAAAACAAAGCCCTTTCATTCTGCTCTGTTGCAAAGGGAGCCCCTGTTGCCTGGGACTCCAATACTTTGCCTCTTTAAGGAGGGGTGGGTGGTGAGGAGGACAGGAGGAGTTACTTTGTTTTCTGTTTCAACAGCAGTGAGAATAATAAAAAATAATGATTAAAAAAATTAGTCTATAAACCATCTTGCTAGGCAGAGAGGAAACCTTCCATTTTCAAGGTATGTCTATGTTGTGAAATGTTTTACCATGGAGAGCTAGGCAGCAAACGTGCCATGAATCCCATGGTCTTCCTCAACGGCCGCTCACTGGGCCAGACTGCCCCACTGCAGGGATTGCCTCTCCCCCTCATTATTCTGAAACAAATCCAAGACATCATTTCATTCCGTCCATAATCATTTCAGCATGTACATTTAAAGATAAGGATTGTTTTTTTAAAAAAACCCACAACCACAATGCTGTTATCAGCTCTAAAAAATGATTGCTTAATGTTATCAAATATCAAATATCCAGCCAGTAGTCAAATGATCTATTTTCCCATAAACATAAAGAGTGTCTTTAAAAAAATGTTTGGATTAGAAGTCAAGGAAAATTGTATTGTGATTGGTTGATATGTTTTTTAAGTTTCCTTTAATGGATTATTTTTTGCCTCCAGTGTGTTCTTTTCACTCATTTATTGAGGAAACCAAGCTGTTAGTCCTACAGAGTTTCCCACAGCCTGGATATTTCTGGCTGTGTCTGCATGGCATATGAAATTGAACATGGTCCTCTGTCCTCTCCAATCAGGAAATTAGTAGTTGGATCTAGGCTTGGTTTGATTTGGGGAGGGTGATATTGCTTTATAGATTTTGTGTCCTTCCATCAGGAAATACATGATATCTGGTTGTGTGTCTGATGTCAGTATTGTTATTGATGAATGCTATGTTTATTAATACATTAGGGACTGCAAGATGGTGATAATTCCATCATTGCTTGTTCATTTATTAAATTCTCTTTAAAGGAAAGTGTTCCTTAGCTACTATTTGGTTATCCAGTGGTATAGTTCTATAAGAAAGGCAGGATAAATGTTTGAACATTTTCTTTATTTATCAATTTTCAAAATAATGATTTGGTTTCTGTGACATCTCTGATATAAAATGTGATCCCACTCTTCAACACCAAACGCAATGGTGTATTTTTTCCCTTTGAGTTTGTATAACAGTAACTATATTATACCCTGTAGTAATAGTAGTGTGACTTCATTCAGGTACCCAGACCCAATTCCAGGTTGTTTAAGTATGGGGGAGGTCTTCTTACACATACTTACACCAAACAATTCTCAAACACCATAGGGTGTCTGAGAACTCAACTCAATTCTGATGCTATTTGCTCAGAGGCAGCACCAGATTCCCCAGGTTAAGGGCTCCATCCTACAAGTCTGTCCTCCACCCCAAACTCCAGATGCCACTCACAAGCCCCAGGCAGTCACCAGTGCTGCTGACCTACCAGCTACAGGTTAGAGGTTCCCACAACCTCCTTTAGGTTCGATTAATTTGCTAGAGCGGCTCACAGAACTCAGGAAAACACTTATGCTTACCAGTTTAATAAAGGATACTGTGAAGGATACAAGTTAACAGCCAGATGAAGAAAGACATAGGGCAAGGTCCCAAGTAAAGGAGCTTCTATCCTCATGGAGCTTGGGGCCTGGCTCGGTGGCAGGTGGAGGCGTCCTGGTTCCCCAAGCATAGTAGCTCTCCCCAACCAAGAGGCAGAATCTAACCCAGCAGGGAAGGGAGAGCAGAACAGAGAGAATGTGTGAGCTCTTTTCCTGGGTTTTGTGAGGGCTTCATTGCATAGTCATGACTGACTAAATGATTGGCCATTGGCTGATTCAGCCTCCAGTCCCTGCCCTTGGGTGGGGGGTCCAAAAGTTTCATTAACATGGCAAAACACCCATTTCACCTTTAAGACTGCAGTGTTTTCAGGAACTGTGGATGAATACCAAATATACCTGGGAAATAAGAATGACCAAATATGTATTTGTTATAACTCATTACATCACAGTTTCCTAGCATTCTCTAACAGTGACCAAATAGCTTTTGTTTGCATTTTGGTATCATTTTAAACTAATGAATATTTGATATGTTTCAGTCCATTATAGCTTTTATTCTTATTGATGCTCGTAATATCCCATTTAGTTATTAGAAGCTTCTTCAGGTTATCTTCCGAATGCTTCCTGGGTATATGGTATATGATGTTTTAAGTTCATCTTGTACAATATTTAGTTTTTAATGCCATGTCAATTTCTAGTGATCTGAAATCAGAGAATAGTGGACCTTTTCTAAAGATGTGTTAGGCAGTAAGTAGAGGTAGAAAAGTTTGGTTTGTGTTAGAGATTTATAGGTTCTGTCACCTGCTTTTCCATCACAGTTCTACACATAGGTGCACAGATAC